ATTTCATGCAACTAAATTTTGCAAAAATTCAAGTTCAAGGTTACAAGGTCAATACCTTTGGCGTAGGAACTGTCAAGGTAACGTCCAAATTTGGCTTGATCACAGAAACATCACTGAAAAACTCAAAATTGAGTTAGCACATTGCGAAATAGACGCCAAACGTGACTTTCGATGTCTGAGGAGATCGGGGCTAGAAAATTTGGTTGGTTTTGTGGAAATTTCTACCGCAACCAAGAGCAACGATGGGTTCATAACCGTCTCTACGATCGCACACGTGGAACCCTGGACTGCGTAGTCTGCCCGAACGGCAGGGAGGGAGACTGCGCGGTCACGGTGTGGTCTATAAGATCACCTGCCAAATATATGGTGATGAGTACACAAGTGAGTTAGCAAGGCCGCTTTTGTGCGGAGCAAAGACGAACGTTGACGGCAAAACTAAGTCATGGGTGTCAACTGCACTAGGTTTCCACTGGATGAATTCCCATGGCGGGGTCGACTTCGGAGTCACGGTAGAGGTCCTGGAGCAAGAAATTCAAACTGCCGCACGCAAAACCCTCGAGGCATTTTGGATCCAGGTCAAGGATGCAAAAATGAGCCGGAGGGGAGAGATGTCTGTCAAATATGTGGGGGTTAATCCTCGTATACAAGTCTAACGCTCCTAACGGGACCATGAATGCGATCGGTGTGAAAGCTTTCTCTGCTGTGCTAGCCGTAGCGGATCTAGTGGATCTTGTAGATACGGTATTTTCCTCTCCCTAATGTTGGGTGATGATTAGAATGGGGTGAAAGGTTTCTGCCAGATGGCGTGACATTTGGTCAGATAGTTCAGTAATCGATTTCAATCCTTTCAGGCTCCGAATAAGGTGAATCACCAAAACCTTAGCCGCCTAGAAAAATCATTTCAACTTTGAGAGTAGTTTAAGCAGAAACAGCTGTACACCAAAATTGAGTCGGAAAAAAAACAAACGAAAAAAATGAAGTGAGCGGTGAGCGGCTACTTACCCAAGACTGAAACGTGGAGGAGCACCAGATGGCGTGGAAACCTTTACCGAATTATTTAGTTCATCGCATTTGGCACTTCCTTCAATTCGACGTTTTGCCTGCAAATGATTGCTACATCACGGAAATGCTGAAAAGGTTTGAATGGAAATACTGAATATTTGGAAAACGCCGTTACATGGTAAAAAGAATCCTAGGACAAAACAGACCACATACCTTGGCAATAACTCGTCCCGATGTCGATGTTGTAGGAGTTTCCTTACCCGTAGCCTTCGGAATAGGTTTTCCAGAGTACATTTCATCAAGTCGTTTCATATGTTCCAAGTAGGATTTGACAGAATTAGACTGGAAAAGTTAGCAACTACAATAGAAGATTCCAGAATGATTCCGCGATAATGTTTCAAGAACGAAATACTGTGAGAAACAGGTTTTGGGTTCTACTACTTATAGCTGCCTGTTCAGAATTCGTGGGGCTTCATACTTCGGAAAGTTCTAGGAGTTTCCAAATTCACAAGCCACGCTTTTAAACAACGGCTTGAACAATGCAAACTACCCTCTGCTGCAGGCAGAACAGGAAATGACCGAGTGAAAACTAGAATAAACTCAGAATGTAATGGTGGATCTTTCGAGGTTTCTCAAGGATGAACTTAATCGGCCTCAGGGTACGGCATCGTGATGTGTGAAATGGTGGTGTCAGTACGACCCCCACCTCGCGAGGGAGAGTGTCAGTACGGCCCCCCCCCACCTAAAAGAGGGTCTCGGTACTACCTTTCACCCCTCTCCTTCCTCAACACCTACCTACCAATTTCCCAAAATTCCCAGTTTTTCACCCAAGGATTTGCCGTCGAACGGGGTGGCGGGGGGGGGAACTAATATGTTAAACACGATGCAACAAAGAATAATCACGAAAAGTCAATGACCGGGAAAAATTTTTTACCCAACGCGGCAAATTCCCAAAGCCGCATACAACCCCCCACTCCCAACAAAGACCAAATACGACCCCCCAGCCGCGCGCTCCCCAGCGGCAAAAGTACGACCCTCTATTGTTTCACATAACGATCCTCTACCCTTGCTTTGGCCTGACGTTTCCAGATAGCAGCCTTCTTCAGAGGCCCAAAAGTGTTTTGAGTTGTAGAGATCAAGGGCCCCCATCAAGCGCCTGATATACCACAGCATTCCACCACGTAGTTATTACCTAGTCGCAGTGAACCCAGTTACAACCAAATTATCTCCCAAAAAATATATTGAAAAATGGGTGCAGCAGAACAGCTATAGTCTCAGTCTAAAAAAGAATGACAAAACTTACAAAATCATAATGAGCACACTGCTTGTACCATTCTTGTAGCTGTCGAATAAATTCTCTGTTAAGGCGTGACACCTTGTCGTTAAATTGAAGTGTTCGCATTTGCTGTTCCGATGTCTGCATATCATCGGCTGCCATTTTATTTAATTGGACCCGATAGTGTGCACCCTAAAAATGTATGGATAAAGTTCTTATTTCACAAACTTTGCGATTCGCCTGGAACGCTTTAGTAGACAGCGGTTCCGAACTACAGAAACAGCAACTGAACAATCAATTGAACAGAACAACTCGCAAAACAACCGCATTCAGCAGTAACAATAACAAGACTGTGTATTTCATGTTACTGGTAATCAATCCTTCACTCGTTCAACCTTTCATTATCTGCCCCTTCCTATGCACCAATGGAATAGCAGTGGCAACAAACCAAGCTACCCCTCTAAAGGTGCTAAAATATTGCGCCATAGCTTACACAGCAACAAAGTTCCAGCCGCTCAAATACGGGCCCACGTACTGATAAAAGTTTCTACGGCGCGAAATGGCTTGGGGGTGTGACATCTGCCCCTTGGTTACTTTCTTTCGCTCGAGCCATCAAAATAAGAGCTATGAAGTCTTGTGAAGCCAGTGGTCCCAGGCAGACATCTCATTAATCCATTTGAAGGAAGGAAAAGCGACATGGGAAGTAGCGAAAGCACAAAATGTAATTCCTCCGGCCGAATTGCGCCAGTTTCTTCTAACACAGAACGGTAAACCGAACGGAACTTTCTTGTATTCCATCCTGCTATCCAGAACTGTTTCCAGAAACTAGTTTTTTTTAAAGAATCGTTTATCCACATGGTTACGTACACACATTTCTCTACGAAAATGGCACGGGACCTATTTATTTAACTCAGGCAAGAACAAGTAATGTTCTAGAGAAATTGGTCACTTAATCAGACCTTCGACCACATCTTCAGCTCCTACGCTACATTCGACGCTGTTCGGAAAGGGGAGAAGGGCAATGCATGCTTCTAAACCAAGCTCACGCTATTGTATAGCTGTACAGGACTTCACAGGCCTCTACAGGATTCACTGGCAGTGATCAATTTGAGCGTAGGCAGGCACTGCAGTGATCGATGTTGTTCGGCAAAGTACCCTCACTAAGCCAAACTGCGCCTTACATTCTGCTACCGATACCGAGTTGTTCTTGTGTATGGGAATGAGAAGCTCGCATTTCTTCCAAAATTTACTACTTTTACTAATTTAATTTACTAACTTTTTTTGGAATAAACTTTTGGAGTTTCACATTGTTATTACACATTCAGATGAGTAATGAGACTCCGGGACAGCATCATACTCCGAAATTTACTACGTTTCGCGCAGTAGCCTTATTCAAGTCATTGAATTACACAAGCAAGATATCGACTGTGTAATTCAGTGACCTGAAGAAGTGCTTAGGCCCGAAACGTAGCCAGTAAATTTTGGAATAAAGAAGAGCTACTCACTTTAATACACAAGAACAAGTATGCAATACATATCGAAGGCATTGGTAACCCATCTATATAAGTTAACTATCAAGACTGGGGGTTCAAACCTCAAACCATATATGCGCTTCCCGATGCACACTGACTCCTCTCTGCTCCGATGGAACAAAAGACGAACCAAAATTCCGCTCATTTCAACCTCCTAGGATAATGCTCTTTCAAAGAGCTAGTTTTGAAGCATAGAACCAATCAATCCGAGGTGTCCATATGATCACCGAATCACTCACACACATTAACCGCTCACCAACCGTTTAACAACCCATCCATGGCAACCTCCACTCGCACAAAGTATCTCGTTGGTCAAAGACCTGTGAACAACAAGAAATGCTAACTGCTACGTTTATTGAATCAACGAATCCACTGAATCTAATAATATAAAAGAGACACTTGCTATCTTCTGAGTACTGATTCTGTGACGTATCTCGCATAAGCGCAACGCGTGGTGCGGCATGGCCTCGAACACAAACACATCTTTACTACCACCGAAAACAACATATGTTCTGAAAAACGAATCCTTTATGACTTTCTCAACGGAGATAAAGAAGCAGTAGGCCACTCTACTTACTCATTATTGTACTGAACAAGGAAACGTGTACATGTTTACTCTCGCACTCAAAAGGCTGACCTATGAGTCATAGCAAGGTACCAGAGTTTGAACCACTCCGCCCTGATCAACCTTGAACTTGATGCCTCGGCTCTCCACCTTTTTTAACCCAGAATTAAATTTCTACGCAATGGTTCACACTGCTTAACGCATTGAACGTCGTGTGCATGGACTTCAACGGACCTCACCCTTGTAGGATTGAGAATTTGTTCCCTGACAAAACACGGTGGTGTTCCTCTTACAGATGTGCGTCACTGACATTTGACAAATTAGTGGTGGTCAAATAATAAATGAGTCGCGTTTCTCCTTAGATACCGCAGCCGCTCAACGCGTTACTTAGGTTTAGAGCACCAGTTGCGCAAAACATAAAATACTCATAGAGCACCAGATTACCAGCCCACAAGAACCCTAGTCTATTAAGAGTCAATATCTCTGCAAACGAGGGGGCATGTTGAGCGTAGCGGTGGGTTGTAGAGCAGCCAATGCGTTCTTTTCCATCCATCCTATTTGATGATGCGATTCTGAACATGCAACAAATGGTGGAAATCGCTGCCTTGGTTGCGTTTTTAATGACCATACGTTACAGTGTCTTACAAGGGAATGGTTTGTAATCCCATGGAACTTTGGATGGGGACCTAGGTACATCGATAGAGCCTCGAATGCTGATTACGAATATGCCCAGATTCAGAAGTGCGGCGGGACCTCACGACGAGACTGGGCGGTCAAAGCTTGGGGTTCTGGCTCAAGGCGCTGCTGACTGGATGGCCTCGCATAGTGCCACGCGTGGCGTCGTGGTAATGGTCTCGCTTTCGAAAACGCATGCGGGTTTGCATCCGGTTGGCGCGAAAATTTTTGCTTCGCTCCGTATAAGAGCTTCAACTCTAATTCCGAAATTCTTCCGAATTTACGGCCCAGCAGGGCAAGTAGATCAAGTACATCAAGTATACGAAATACTCGATCTAGTATGGATTTGGTCATATCTGCCTCTCTGAACATATTACCTATCCGACAATTCAAAAGTTTTGCCCAGAATCGCAATTTGGCCAGACGAGCGTTTTTTCGTCGAAGGAAGTGATATTCGTGTTCAGGGGGTCGAAATCTCCCATGAACGAATTTCTCGCTAAAACTTTGAATTGTCTGATGGCGTAAGCGTAATATGTTCAGAGAGGGCAGCATATGAAATAATTCCATACTATGATCGAAGTATGGTCGCTATACTTGATGGTACTGATCTACTTGCCTGCTGGGCCGTAAATTCGGAAGAATTTCGAAAATTAGAGTTGAAGCTCTTATAGGTAGCGAAGCAAAAAGTTTCGCGCCTACCGGATGCAAACCTGCATGCGTTTGACTTGAAAGCGAGACCATTACCACGAGGCCACGGTGGCACTGCCGAGGCATCGATCAGCAGCGCTTACGAGCCAGAACTCAAACTTTGACCACCCAGATCTCGTCTGGGAGGTCCCCGTAGCACACTTTTAATCTGCATAATCGTAATCAGCAGGCGAGGGCCCTTAATCACATGAACCTCGGTCTCCAGTTAAAAATTCCACGCGGAAGTTCAAAACTATTCCTTTGTTAGACTCATATGCAAGAAACGGTATTCCGTTTATCTCACCATCATAGAACAATAAGAACGCGTTCATACTTTGTGACTCGCGTGAACAGGGAAATTGGCACGTCACGTTTCGGGGCAAAATGCACGCCTACAGGGGCGCTGATCGGCTCCGTTGTAGCGCAACTTGGGAGAAATAACAGACATCGACACTTATTACGTTGCTGAGAACGCACGGACGTTTAGAAAGGGGACCGCTACACACTGGGTTCGGACAAGTCCATCCACTCATTGAACCCGTATTGCTGCCCAAGTCACTGACGGCCCAATATCCCTTCGATGTGTAGGAAGCAGCCTTGTCCACACGCTTAGCATAAATAGGTATAGGAAAACCCATCCTTTATAAACAGCATTTGACCTTTAAATGCAAGTAAGTTCGAAGTGAGATAGTGTGGAAGTCCACAAAGATACGGAGGACAACATGACTAGCGCCTATCGCTCGTTCATTGCTCACACGATCAGGTTGCGAATTATGGTGGGTATGTTTTCCATTGATTTTCGCCTTTTATTTCAAAAGTAACTATGAAAAAGTACTAACCAGTCCCATTGATATCACAAACATTGTCGCGGAGATAGCCAGGTACGTGTTAAACTTCGATTGCAACTCAGCATGCACCTTCTGGTACGGCTGGAAAGGCACGGCCATGTAGTCGAGGGTGACTGGTGGGCCAGGATTAACTAACCCTGTAATAATTACGCAGTATAGAGCTGTAAGCAACAAGGAAAAGCAACTAGTCAAGATGATCTTTGACCGTTCTCTCCAGAACGCTTGTTTATGGCAAAACGTTATTCCATCTTAAAGGCACGTTCCTCGTTCATTCGATATTCGGGTGCGTTCATTGGACATCTAGTCCTGCTCGAAGTACAGAGGATGTACTACTTTCGCAGCTCAAAAACACCTAAGGAGAGCGCTACTCGCTCGCGACGGAGCCACCTCTCCGCCCACCGGCCACCACAACGCCCAACTTCCATTTGCAAATGCTTACTGCTTGGTGGTGTTGCTCCAGCTCTAGCTCTTTCCAACTGAAAAAGTGAGCGTGAGGTGATAAGGGGAAGAGCTGTTAAGTAAGAGCTTGCATGACCACGCCTTTTCTTCGCCTCATGCATCTAAACGACTCTAGTTTGCTACGGATGAAGAGGCGAGTCAGGTATGAGTGGGCCACGGCGAAGAACCCATTCTCTGCCAGCCGTTGAAAGTGTATGCAACAACGATTGGTAGAAAACGAGTGACACGAGCAGCCTTGTCACTTGCTCGCTTGAAACAGCGGGTGGAGAGCGGGTTTGGCATCACGCCAAACTCAAATCCGCCTGACAAGCCCCTTCGTCCACAGCGAGCTAGACAGACAAACGCGGTCCAGCATTATATGGGGCTTTCGGTTCTTTTTATTGTTTTTTCCTTCAC